TTGAAATTTGAAATTTTAATTTTAAAAAATTCTGGAGCCCCTCCTTTCAATGAGCTTCACCTCACTCCCACCATCTCTTAAAGCATTTTTAAGAGATACAGGCAAATGCTACAATGTTTCTGCCAAAATACAGGTGTTTGAGCAGCACTGGTGTCACCCCCTTTTAGGGTGTCACCTGGTGTGGTCCCCCCCCCAGTGACACCACTGAACAAGATAGTGACGCACATTTTGCTCCATAACTCAGGTTCTATAAGGGCTACAGACATGCTTTTCTTTAAAAATATTTGTGAAAGCTTAGAATCCAGGCCAACTGATCATCCCAGTGAGTACTGGCTGACATGAGTAGAAACCAGGCAAAATTCATCCAGCTGGGTAGTATGCCAAACCTAATTGCAATGACATTTCCCAATGGGTCTCACTCCTTCCTTTCTTCTCTATCTAGCTTTCCAATCTGTTTATCACAGTTTTATCTGTCTCTTCCTACAAAGGTCTTCAAGTATCAAATGTCTAACTGCTAGGCAGTCTCTTCTTCAAGCTCTTGGAAAGATCCCTTGCCTGAAAGCTATGGCCTGGGGAGGGTTTTTAGAACTACTGAAAACAAGGTCCAGTATGAGAGAGTATGGGATAGTTGATTGGAATTAACCTCATAGTAACTAGCCTCAAATACAGCCATTTTGATCCATTCAGTTCCCCTGCCCCCTGCTGCTCCCTCCATTGTGACCATCAATCATTTAGGTTAACAAATCTCAGCAACACTTCAGCCCTGATGCTTAATGGCATTATTCGAAGTAGCTCTTGATTTAAGATTTGAACTTTTGTAGCAATTCTTTCTAGTGCCAATGAATTTCCACATTTCGAATAAAATGAATATGACTTTTGCCTCTGGTCATGTAGTAAATCCATACCTTTCTGGGCTGAGAAATCAGGCATCTCATGCTTCATTCTTTCTAAAGAATGAGTTTAAATCATGTTGTGCTGTAGTCCTTGGAAAGCTTTCTGAATGACTTCATTCATTTTTGTGCCACCTGCAGAAATTGCAGGGGGAATTATTTTATTTAAGAAGACAGGGCTGATGAAGAAAATGTTGGCTTCAGTCCAACAGCTATATATCTGGTCTACAGATGCCTTTACTATGCCCATATTTTGGGATTGTTGCTGATATATGAGATGGATTCATTTTAGCCAGAATACTGTTGGAGCACTACACCCATGCAAAAATAGTTGCACAAATGGTACTGAATTCTGAAAGGTTGTGTTAAGTATATGAGGGGGTATCATAAAGTTTTAATTGTCACCTTTAAAAAAATTGACAGAAAGTTTGTTTAGATTTGTAGTTGTTAACTTATCTCTACGTAGTCACCATCCAGATTTCCTGACCCTCCGAATACCATTATTGTAGATGTCTGGAGATTGCATCTTAAACCCCTCTTCCACTTCATGAATGACATCCTCTGTGTTGTGAAATTGGTGACCCTGCAATGGATTTTTCATTTTTGGGAAAAGAAAAAGTTACTTGGTGATAATGACACTGACAACATTTTATCAATATACCTTAATAACTTCCGGGTGATAATTATCCCTTTACAATACCCCCTTGTAGACCCTAATGTAGGCAACTGTTCTGTATACACATACACAGTCCTCTCTCTAATATTTGACTTGGTGGATGGGAAGCTATTTGATTATTGTGCAGTAAGTGAGCTTAAGGCCATAACACTTTCTGCGTAATTAATTATGCACTATGTGACCCAGTGTAACTATGGTTATTTTGAAAAGTAAAAATATGTGATCATGTGGCCAGCATGATTGCACAGAATACTGTTTACCTTCCCACTGAAGTGGTACTTATTTTTCTACTTGCATTTGCATGCTTTCGAACTGCTAGGTTGACAGAAGCTGGGACTAGTGACAGGAGCTCACCCCATCATGCAGCACCTGGGCCTCACACTGCCAACCTGCCCATCTTGCAAGCAACAGAATCAGTGTCTTAACCATTTGAACCACTATATCCTTATGGTTATTTTTACTCTGAGCAAAAATGTATGGGATCTTGGCCTATATCTTTGTTCAATTGCAAGTATGATTTGCTTTAAGAGCTAGCATGGTGTAGTGGTCTGAATGTTGGACTAGGGCTCTGGAGACCAGGGTTCAAATTCCGGTTGTGCCATGTAAACTCACTGGAGTGACCTTGAGCAAGTCACACACTCTCAGTCTCAGAGGATGGCAATGGCAAAGCCCCACTGAAGAAACTGCCCAAGAAAACTCCATTATAGGTTTGTATTAAGGTTGCCATAAGTTGGAAATGACTTGAAGGCACACAACAGCAACAACAAATGATTTGATAGGACTGATATTTTGTACAACATAAGCAAAACTGGTCTGAGTGTAATGGACAGAGGGATAGATTGGAAGGCATCTAGTTCTTGATCTTGAGCAAAGTATTCTATTAGCCTCAGAAAGAGAGAGAATTCACCATTCCTTTTCTTTCATAAATGGTACCCAAATCCTTCTTCTTCATGTACTTGTGTGTGTGTGGCTTTTTTTAATGGTTAGGGTTAACAGATCAGGACTACCACTGGTCTTGGGCATTGTACATTGTACAAATAATTCAGGTTGACACTACTTTAAATTTCATGGTACCATCCTACAGAATCCTGGGATTTGTAGTTTTGTGAGGCACCAGCATTCTTTGGCAGAGAAGGCTAAAGATCTTACACAACTACAGACCCCAGGATTTCATAAGATTTAGTTACAGTACTTAAAGTGTACTGTATTCCTTCTACAGTGTAGATGCATCCCTTGAGACCTCAGAGGCAAAGCCTGAGATCTAGGGAAAAACTATGGTGATGTCACAAGGGCAGGCTGCTTGGTGATGTAATTAAACTTGATAAACTAAGCATCATCAGCCACAAGTGCTTAACAGAAAAGGGTCAAGTCTAACTGACAAGGAAATATATTTATAAACACATTTTCTAGATAGTATTTTTGCTCTGATATTCTCCTCCCACCCCAGGACTAGAGAAGGGGGTCCAAGCCATTTGGTGGTACCTGCAGAAGACAATCTAGTTATTTTGAGTTCCAGTCCCCTCTCCTGCCCTCTAATTACTTTGTGCCACTACAACCAGGGAAATTGACTGGTGATCTAAGAATTAATAAGTTTCAGAAATCATCAGACTGAAATCAATGGATACAACTCATTCTGTGTCTTTTGAACTTCAAACATGAGCTTTGAACTTGACTTTTGAACATGGAAAAAAGGAAATACCTTCCTGAAAAGCAAGATAACTACCTTTGATGTTGCCTTGAGCAGCTCAGTCCAAAGGGATGCCTCTATGCTGAAAACAATGCATGAATCTAAAGTCATGAGCTATTTATCTCATGACCAATCATGACAAAATGACCAGAGGTGTTGCAGAGAATTCTGGAGTACACATTCAGTTTTTATAGGGCAGTGCCCATTAAATGCTAGTTGGAAGAGATTCTGATGGAAAAGGATGAACCACAAACCTTCATGAAGCCAGTAGATCAATGAGTATATTTTCTATTGTAGAATACCTTATGAGACAGAGCATTTTGATGAAGAAAGCAGTAGTGACATCACATGTACTCCTAAAAGGCTCAAGGCAATCACAAAGCATTTCATTTAGATGCTTACTCTATAATGATACATTAGGTGTTGATCTAACCTCTTATTTTAAAAAAGGCTCAATTACTTTTCAATCAAGAGATCTAGGGGGGAAGCAGATGGCTAAAAGGGCTGTTTTGGGGGCAAGGAAGGGGAGGGGCAGCTGCATGGTGGTCGCCCCAACCCCTTCCCGAAGGCATCGTCGGAGCGCCGGCCCCTCTGCACGGCTGGCACTCTGACGATGCCTTCCCACTGCAGCGTTCACATACGCTGCAGCGGAAGAGTCGCCGAAGGTGCGCCGCCAGCCTTTTGCAGCGCACCTTTGGGACTTGTGGAAGGAGAGTTATTTTAGTGCTCCTTCCAGGGGCGGCAAAGCTGTGCTGTGGGGCCAAGGTGTGCGGATACCTCGGCCCTGTGGCGCAGATTCCCAGGGCGGCCCATGGCCGCCTTTCTGCTTCCCCCCTTAGTTAACTTTTATTTTTGTCAGCTAAATCCGAATTAAAAATTTCCTGCGGTCAATGCAGTAGATCTTGGTTTTAACCCCTTTTGTAGCCTGCCACAAAAAAAAAAAAAAAAAAAAAAAAAAAAAAGGATTAGGCCTGAAGTGTCTTACTGCGTCCTTCAGCAGCTCTGATGTTCTATGGCTGAGTGTTTCATTCCACTTTTACTGAATTCCTGAGTACAGTAGTTATACCTGGGTTTTGTGGCATTTGGATTTAGCTAATGGACTCATTTATTTCAGACCTCAATTAGTTGCTACATTATGAACTCACAGTTTAGGAGATTTCTATGCATGCAGAAATAAGAAAAACTTAGAAATAAAGTATACATAACATGGTTACTTGTAATGAGTTGCTCCATTGGCTAAGTGAGTAATGAAATTACATGTTAAAAGTAACACAAGTGGTGACAAGTTACCTTATTGAAAGAAGGATCAACAGTTTCTAGTTAGGTTTAGGAATGTTTAAAGTATTTTAAGAGCCATTTTGATGGGATTCATCAAGTTTTATGCTGTTCATTTGTCAGTCTTAAAAAGCCACCCATACTGAGAAATAATTTTAAAAAATGAGTAATTCAATGAGCAACATCTTGTGAAGTACCGGTACTTTTCTTCCACAAAGCAAGACATCTGGGTGACTAAGCAAGATAGCTTTGGAGAGTTCTGTAAGGAGTATTTCCAGTTGCTTTATTGTGGCATCAAATATCGTTTACACTTTAGCAGTGAAAAACATGAACATTTAAATAGTTTTTGCTGTTGGTTGCAAGGAGACCTGCAGCCCACCTAGGCATGGCTAATGATGGCCGCTCCATGACCAGCAGACCCATGTGACTAGTGCTTTCTCTTGGGTAAAGGGAAGCTGGCTGGCCATGACAGAAACTGGAGCAGAGAAGAAGCAAACATATGTGTGATGGGTGCACATATAATCCTTCCTTCACTTCAGATTCAACTTTTTCTTCTTTCTTATGGACATGTAGTGACCAGCAAGAGGTGATGGGAAGCTGAGTTAGGAGAACTGTTGGTGGGTATGTTTTGAGGTATCCAACAAAAACACTACTTACTTGGTTTCTGCCTCTCTCTTTTGAGTGGCTTGTGGAGAGGGGAGCAGGGGGAAACCTGAATGAGAAAAATTGTTGAAGATTGCATTGACCTGCAGCCCCTTTCTCCTCAATATCTTCACTACAGTATCTTTATAACAATAACTGGTGTTTTTTTTAAATGTACTTCTTGGTGTAAGAAAGGTGCAGCAGTTTCTCATCAGGGTTGAAGCTAGGCTTCTTGTTGGGTCTTTCCAACAGTTGAGGAGGCAATTTTTTTCTCTTCACCCATCTAGTTTTTTCTGATGTTCTTTCTATCCCTGCTGCTTATATTCCAACAAGCTTTTATGCCTTTTCAGTCTGCGAGTTCCTGCTCTTCACCAGTAAGGTCCATCAACCTGATGGACACCAGAGGAAGGGCCTTCTTAGAGGTAACCTCATTATAGGTTTGTCAGGTTGAGTATAAGACAGAGTGCCTGTCCTTCTGGAAGATGTTGACCATAAAGTTGTACTGAAGGACCTAGAGATTCCTAGAAATGTGTTCTCTCACATTAAAAAAGATAGTGTTTTTTTTTTAAAATTCTGTTTCACAAGGTTCCTGCATCTCTAATCTCAGCAAATGTGGAGGGATCACTGTATTTTTTAATACAGTGGTCTCTCCACATTTGCTGAGGTTAGGGACATAGGAACCTTGTGAAACAGAAATAAAAAACACTATCTTTTTTTTTTAAACATGAGAGAACACCTCTCTATGAATCTCTAGGTCCTTCAGTGCAACTCTATGGTTAACATCTGCCAGAAGTTGACTACGGAAATGTGCTGGAGACCTCTAAATACCTAGCGAAGGTGTTGTCTTTAGGAATCTCTAGGTCTTCCAGTGCAACCTCTGGTGAAAGTTGGCCATAGGGATGCGCTGGTGGACTAGAGATTCCTAGAGAGAACATATTAATCAAATCCAAGAATAATAAAATCCATAAAAGTCAAAGCCACAAATGTGGAGGTTTGACTGTAGTTAGCAGAACCTAGATCAGGAAGACTACTCCCACCTTTTAGCAAATGTAGCCTGCTCATCATAACTATTTACTCACTGACTGATGGAAAAAAGGGCAAGGTGGTGAAGACACATTCAGATCCATTATTGGAGCTTAGGTGCCCAGCACTTTCAGTTCTATATTACATGATGACAGCAATTACAGGAACAGAACTGCCTTCCTGATCTAGAATCTGCTAATTGTTAAAGCTACAGTTTTGTCTTGTATTTGACATGGCCACCTCACCTGATAATTCTGTCTTTTATTTTTAATGGGTTTTAAAGACCTGGTTGCTTATGCCTGACTTTGCCTTATTCATTTGAAACTGGCCCAGGCTTTTTAACTGTCAGTTTTAAAAAAGTTTCTGCTTTTCTCTTATTTTATTTTTAGTTTTTGGTGGCCTTGTTCAACTGGGGACATTATTATTTTGTATTTCTGTCTGTTTTGTTTTATGATGAATGCAGTGCAGAAATAACTTTCAGATGACTGTGTAGCCCTGAAAAGGTAATGTACAAATACTAATACTGTACATTATAGATTGTCTTTGTGTATTGCTCTATTGTTTCTTCCAACTGTGTATTTCAGAAACTCAATCATGTTTAAATGATAGAAAGAAACATACAGACACCACTGCTACCATATTTTCAATCTTTACAGCTGCCCTGTTGATAGCACAAGAAGGGGGGAAGCCCTGTTACAGTTTCCAGCCCTTGTGCAAATGATTTATAGGAAGGGCAAACTTTATTAGGTTTTTAAAAGTTAATATGATTTTGGTACAGAATATGTGCTGAAATGAGACTGGAAAGATGTTTTTATGCTCTGAATCTAAGCACAGCAAATGGAAGAATGCCTAAATGAGCTTACTAGCGATAGAACGCTAGCCAGAACACGTCTGTTGAATTCATAACCTGTGACTGCCCCAAAGGGATTTATTGAAATTCAAAGCATGCTCATCCCAGACTGTTTGATTTCAAA